ATTATCCCTTCTCTTTTCCCTGGTTCATGTATTTTGGGATAGATGAAGTATCTTAGGGATGATTGCTTAACAAAGCAGGAAAACATGGAAGGAACAAAGGGAATTGGTCTTTCAGTTGTTTGTGCTATTAACTGTAAGTATGATATACCATGTTCTCTGGTTGTTGTATTATCTATATGTGTCGTATGCATTTGTTTCTTGTTCGGTTAACTTATACAATTTGCAGATCGTGCTCCAACACAGAGGTCCATAGATTCTTATTATTATCCTATCATTGAATTCAATTGTTCCATCTTCTGCAACAATTTTTAATGTCTTCTATTTGCTCATGTATAATTGTTTTTGTTTTTCCTATCTTTTATCTTGGATGATTTAGTTGATTTCATTGTAGTTTCTTTTAATGGAAAATCCTAAAAATTACCTCCAAGTTTGGTAGATTCTATCTTTTTTTCTTTAAATCTACTTGCAATGTGTTGATTTGGGACAACCCATTGAGAAACAACCAGCTGATAATGTCCAATTTACATCTATGTATTGTTTTAATGAATTGGAATAAGTTAATTCATGGAACTTTTGTAGTTTCTGCCTTTGGCTACTTTAGCCTATAGTAAGTTGCTTATGTTTGTATATGGAATTTACCACTTTTTTTCTCAGATTGGTCATGTCAAATCCCAATTGGGGATGACAACACAACTTAATAGTGTCTAATACATATTAATACCAGTTATATGCAACAGTGTTGGATTGGAATGTATGTTATAATGAGGGAGGTTGGGATAGATTCTTACCATCTGACGAGGGTAACTCTGATGATGAAGAATTGACGAAAGTCATCGACCAAACAGATCATTCAATTTTTTGGACCATGAAATTGCTGAGCTCACAAAGCTTAGATCAAGCCAAAAAGTACAGCTAAGACCTTCCTCGAAAGCAGAATCTCTTATTTCAATAGTGAAGATGTTGCCATGTTGGAGAATCAAGTTCTTCAAGAGGGATGTTCTCTTGAGTAGATGGTTGTCTTGTTCTAAGTCAGTGTTTGCCTGCCAATGGTCCTTGGGTTGTCAACCAAAAGACGACCCGAGCTTGTGCTTCTAATTTTCCCCTATGCTCTCTTTTTGTTGCTGGTTTTCTCCTATTGGTTATTTTCCTAGGAAATTTATTTATGCAATCAAAAGGTTCATGAAACTTTTATCTGGAAGTTCTGATTTTTTTCTTACCCTTACATCGGTTTCTTAGGAAGAAATGAAAAATGAATCTTATCATTCATTAATGTCTACATTAAAGGACCTAATGATTAAATGGATTGAACAAAATATAATATGGCAAACTGAGTGTTATGAATTGTGTCATTTGATTATAGTATTAACTAATCCATGACAAAGTTAAGTTGAATTTAGTCACATGGGTAGTGAACTATTCATTGATTGCCATGCTTGCTCATTTTCCATTTGCAGGCCATGTTATGAATATGAGGGAGGAGTGGGAATTTGACTTTCCCCCAATGCAAGACCAGAATACAATATGGCAAGGTTTGTTCCATATTGGATTCTATTCATTAAGTGTGGTGTATGTGTACTGACAAAATGGTTTGTTCTATATTTGTCCTGGTCATTATGTGCATTTATGTGTAATCCATTCATTAGTTTTCCAACACTTGCTACTTTGTGAGCATCTATGTGCAACCATACTGTTAGAGCGTTACTTGGTGCAGTAAGTCAACCCTTTTTTATATGCATGTCTACCCCCATGGAGTATGAATAAATTTATCTTTCAATTATTCCCTGTCATAGACGTGCAATTAGTCAACTATTTCGATTCAATTCTACCTCCAGGGGTTGTGAGTTTCTCACTGTGTTCTGTGGAAGTTTTAAGACATAATAAAACTAAATCAAAACCAGCGCTAATGTTTTAAACTTAAAATTTATGAGTTTCCAATTAGAGAGTCATCTTGGTTGGGAGGAGCAATCTACACGCCTTTTGTTTAGACCAATGCACTTAGGGAGCATTCTACTGTTTTTGGAGAATGTGCTTTAGCGACTACTTTCTTCGTGCCTACAAAGCTTTTTTTTTTGCCTAACTTGATAATATTCTGTCCGTTTTCTTTCTTCGTTTACTGTGATGTTTGCCATTAGAAAGGTTTTCGTTAGGTGCCCCATTAGTCATCAGAAAGGATTTAAGTATTAATTTGAGGTGGTAAATTTTAATGGCTAATGTTGAACCTAAACAGTGAATACCAGAGAACATATGCAATTTGAAAATAGATATACCTCGAAGTGATCCTCAGATAATTGTAAATGCATACACTTGACAGAATTGGAAGTGTATGAAGTTTGAATATAACCACTACTAAGACAATGCATGGTTTCTTTTAAGTTGTTGACCCTTTCCATAATTTATCCATTAACTTTAATTTTTAATAAAAAAATTAACTCATTATTTATATCATTCATTCTCCCCACCCCCCTCCCCCATATCTTCTTCATGAAAAACCTTTCGATATAAATTTTGGACTAGCAATCGGTACTGCCCTTGTCATTGTTGTTTTTTTTTTTCATAAAAGGGGAAAGGGGGAGGGGGAGGGGGACTTGAACCCTTGACGTTAAGAAAACAAAACCTTTACAAAATAAGGAGTACCATTGGACTAAAGGCCCCATAAATAACAATGTATTTATTAGAAGAAGAAATGACTATTGCTCTTTTTTTTTTTGTTTAACTTTTTGTTATTTCTAACCAATATCTGTTGTTGGATTTTTTGTTTGCTCAAGAACTAATAGTATTGATAATATAATTCATAGATCAAGTTTACTTTGTAATTCATTGTCTCTTAAAAACCTTTTCTATGTCATATCGTAAAATATTTACTTTTTGCAGGTACAATTTATGAATCTCAATATATAAGATGCATCTCAAAATGAGAAAGGACTAGATCTCGTAAATGTTTAATTTTGATCACTAGAGTGAAGCTTATGAAAATGCCTAAAACTTCAAAATGACGAAGTTTAAGTGTAATATAATATTTTATACTAAAAATGGTTCACATGTACACCAACTAATTACTTATAAATGTCAGCATCTGCAAAAAAGTTTTTGATTTTCTATTTTATTTCTAATTATTATAATAAAGTCAATCATATGCATTTATATATTTTTATCTATTTTTTTTTTATACCTATTTGACTTTCAACTTGTTTTGGACTCTTTTATAAGAACTTCTAAATTTTTTTGAACTAATTTATTAGTAATACAGTTACATACAATTATCAATATCTGTATGAAAAAGTAAAGTGTTATATATGTTAAATTAATATACACATGTAATTAGCAGATTGAATTTTATAGTCAAATATATATTAGATTTTATTTTTTGATATGAAATAAAATAATAATATTATAAGCGATTTAATCAATTTATTTAACAAAATAAAAATTAATAATTCAATAATATAATTAAATGTGCAAATGCTTAAAAGGGTTGAAAAAATACCTAAATATTGGAACCTAATTTATTATTTAATTTAATTGCACATATAATTCATATTTTCTATAAAAGTAATAATATTTAAATTTGTTTACGTGCAACACATGTTGTGTATAGCTAATAATAATAAAAATGGATTAAAAGCATAAGAAAAAGAAGTCAGATATGAGCACTACAAGAAATTAGGCTTTTAGTGACAAGATTTATATTGTAGTTAAAAATATTGCCACAAAATATATATAATTAGTGGTGAAAAATTAGTGTTACCACTGAATATATGATATTAAATTCAATTAGTGACAATTTAAATATTGTAGCAAAAATATCACTAATTCATCACAAATTTTATCGAAGAAAACTTTTAGTGGTACGAGTCCACAGTAAAACCTGTCAAGTTAAGTCTTTGAATTCCCCTCCTAGTAGGGGGGACGTTCTAAATTCAAAGTGGACTTTTGGGGCAAAGCCTAGACCAAAGGTGCCTAATAGTGTAGGGAAACTAATCGGGTAACGAATCTCATCCTTAGCTAAACCAAGTCCCAGGTGGTAACCCAATTGAAGTTGAGCTTGTGTCAAGCCCGCTTTTTTATAAAATCTCAACGTGGGATAGAAGAGGTTTGGAACCCTCATCACGAATTTCATATGGGATATCCACAAAGGATACCAAGGATGGTCGTGGATCAATACAAGATTGAGAAGAAGAGTCCAACATATAATAAAGTCTTGAATGAAGCTTGGGTTGATGGGGTTTTCTTTACTAGTGAACCAATCTTGGGAGTAAAGCATGATATGATGCATTCTTCCTCAACTTCAAGTTCACTAACTAAAGTGATAATGGTTCCGTTAATGGAAAAATTGATATTGATATGATATGAGGATACCACAACCAAGTTGGCGTGGATCCAAGGTCGTGCTAGCAACATTTTATATTTATTTTATAGTATATCCGCTACATGGAATAGAGTTGACCGAACAAGGGGTCCTATTTGGAGATTAAGTTGAACTATACCTTGCGTGGTTCGAGTGGTCCCGTCATATGCACGAACAGCTGTAGTCAAGAGCAAACCAGGAAGGGTAAAAATGAGACTTCCTAGTTGTACTCGATGTGAAAATCTTCCATTTTGCACAAGTGTCTATTAAGACCCTCTTGATTTTTGGTAGTGGTCTACAAAGGCCTCTACATACAGGGGTCGAGTATGGGGATTGCAAATGTAAAGTCAAAATCATTCTGAGTGAAGGTAATTGGTTGGGGAGAAATTAGACTTCCCGCCATAGCAATTTAAATTTTGCCACTAATGATTTAAAGTTTAAGTGATAAAATTTTTTACTTGCAGCAAAAATATGCAATTTTTACAGCAACAATTTTTTTTCCGTCACTGTACGATAATTTTAGTGACAGTAAAAGTTGCCATCGATAAGTCTTTGCAAAATAAGCCCAAAAAAAAGTTCTTCGCTTCATATTTACCCTAACTCTTTGCCCCCCCCCCCTTCTCTTTCCCTCTCGATCTCTAGATCTGAAATTTCAATGGTGGCACCCTTGACTGTTCGAGCATCTTGTGAGCGTGGTGTGTTGTGTCGTCGTTCTACGGCCACCACTGTATTTGTGTTGAAGAATTGCAAGGTAGGGTTTTCTTTTAGATCTTTCAATTTTTGTCCTCCCGTCAATCTCTCACTTATGTCCTTCGAAATGCTTGATATCATGTTCGAGTTTGTTAAATTGAGTGTGATTTCATGGTCAAGTGATGTTATGAGATGAATATTTCCTTCTTTGTGTTATGGACTTAATAGGCGACTTTTGATTTTGGATTTTGGTTGTAGTTTGTGTTGAATTGGCGATATTTTATAGTGAATCAACGAAATCTAGGCCTTTCTCACTATATTGTTCGATGAAAGTTTTGCAAAAGTGATATACTGCTAAAGTTTATATCGTGAGATGTGGTTTCTTGCTTTGATTGACATTAATTCTATAGGAAACTCAGTGGCTCTAATTTTGTTGAATACTTGTTTAGATCCTAAGTTGTATCCCTCACGCACGATATCGAAATTTTGGTATTGTTTCTCTCTCCCTCTCTATCTCTCTCTGGACCTCCCAGTGGTGGTCATTCTAGTACCGTAGGTGTCATGTTCCTTCTCATTAATCAAGTATAGACCTAATATGTGGCTTTAATTTATGCTTCTTTGGTTTATTGTTGTTCTGGTTAATGTTTACAATTTATATCTGTTACTCTGTCTATATTCTATATGCTTAGAGAATCTGACAAAAAGAAACTGCCCATGATAGCGGTGTGGGGTGTGTCTCACTTCAATTTTTTTTTGGTCTTTATCTGATGAGCTTGCTAATCTCTACCGATCATTTCTGGAGAGTGTAAAATATTTGCATCATCTGTTGCAGTTGTATGCCCGAGTGTAAGCTTGCGCTGAATGATAGAGTGTTGTTAGAGTCACAGGGACGATCAACTAAGGGAAAAGTCTTTGATCTAGATGACATCAAATTTCATCAGCATGTAGTCTAACCCTTGGTGTGGTTTTTTTACTCTCTCTCTCTCTTCCTTGCTCCTTGTTCTCCTACTCATGCTACTCTTTGTGTAGGGGTGTTCATTTGGCCCGCTTCAAAAATGATGAGGCAGTATCATTTATACCTCGTGATGGTTCTTTTGATCTCATGACATATAGACTCAGGTTCTCCTTTTGGTTATGTGGTTTTTGTCCTTACTTGTTCACGTCTTCATGTACTACCTCATATAATCATATCCAGGTGCTAGAAATTCCTTTTTTTTGAAGTTGAAAGATGCAGATATTATCTATACTTTGCAGTGGATCTGGAAATTGACAAGGATGCACTAAAGCTTATTACATCAAGATCAGATGGATCTTTATGGGATGTTGAGATGACCGTTGAACAACTGAATTTGATTGGGCAGTGAATCTCTGTTCCTCTTGTTCAGGAACTGGTAAGTTATATGTCTGTTTAGCAAAACTAAAACAGATTTTTGGAATTGTTTTTCTTACCCTGCATCATTTTATTATCTAATTACCCACAACCAATGTTGTTATACACCAGCAACCTCTATTGAATTTCATGTGCTTGCATTCATCAATTTAGCAACTACATATGTTTCAGAGAATAGGCATTGCCCTGTATTTAGAGCTAGTACTTACATCTCTCGAATATTGCTTATCCTGTTAACATTAATGTCCTAAAAAATTGTTTTTTTCCTTGGCTTAGATAGATGCTGCCAACACTGCTTGTCTTTTTGTGCGACTTGGTTAATTTGTTGAGTTTTTATTGCTAAACAAATTACTATCCTACAGCAATCTTCACTTGATACTTGCAATTGGTTAAACACTTTACCAGAGGGGGTTGATAAGGTTCCACAATTCATTCAAGTTAATGCACGTGTTTGGCCATAGTACTTCCTTTAGTTCTTAGTTGTTAACATAGCCAAGGTGCCTTTCTGGCATATAACTTTGTGTAAATTGTTTTTTCTTCCGTTAATTTTCCTGGTTTGTCAGACTACGTTGATGACCAGGGATACTACTGTAATGATATCTGTTTCTTTTTGATAAGGAACTTTTATGATGGCCCATGGAAACAATGCCCTTTTGGTGCTTGTGCAATGCCATCCTTCAAGCCTCTTCAAGGCTACCTTTCAGCCAGTGGCTAACTTTATTGCTCATCCAAAATTATTAACTAGTCCTCAAATTTATTACTGTCATATGATGGGTGATAGATAGTCTACATTTGGTCAACTGAAGTCCTTGTTTTAGGCCTAGGGCTTCTTGGCCAATGGAGTACGATAATTTTGATTCACAAAGATGTATATACTTCGTCTGCATGGATCAGAGCCTCTCATCAAAGAAATAAATAAAATTTGAACTAAAAATAGGAGTATCTGTAAAAGGCTATTAGTGGGCTCATCCTTTATGCCATATGCTGAATACTGATTCTTTTTATAGAATTTTGATGAACTGCATAAAATTGAAAATGCCAAAAAAGGGGGGACTCATCCCTTGTATGTGTGAGGTTTTATTTTATGTTACTCTTTAATGTGCTTGAATTTAGTGCTCAACATGCCTTGAATTATGTATTACCTGCAGAACATCTCAAAACCTCTTACTGATTTGTGGGGGCTGCTATGTATGAATTGCTGAGATGATTATTAATTGCGGGTTGGGCTCATATCTGACGAGAAGTTAGTAGATCTACTCGATTTAGCATTATCTGCTGACACAGTTAACACTGTAATCAATTTAATTAATTTATTTTTATCTCTTTTACTAATTGTTGTTTGATTATTTGTTCATATGTTATACTCTTTGTGCTTCCTATTAATGTTGGGTAATTTTTGTTTGGTACAAACCAGTGGAAGCTCTGATAACAGTTTTGGAAGGCTCACTTTTAAAGACAAAGACGAAAGATTCAATAACCTGTCAAAAATTGAATGTGTAGTTGAGAGTTGATTGTTGTGCAATTACTTTCTTTTGAGTAGGTATCATTGTCTAGTTGATAGGACACAATTTGAAATCATGATCATAATTTTTTTGTTCATTCCTATTCTTTAATGATGATGCATTGTACACGTACAATTTAATGATACTAATATCATAATATTATTTTTACATGATTTGATTTGAGAATTATATCTTTGAAAGTGAGTGTTTGTGTTATTATGTTATTTGTTTCCTCATTGGGTATATATATTGATTCATTGAACTATAACAGGTATGTGAAATTGGAAAATATTCAAAAATAAATTCTTTCAAATATGTAATAGGTGTTTTTATGTACATTTTAATGTATTAACCGAAACAATAAGTTATCACTAAAAGCATGTTTCAAATTTTAATGGTAATTTTAATTATGGGTAAAATATATACTTTTAGCCGTAATTAATTGTTGTCACAAAAAGTCAGATTTTAATTGGAATTTTAGTGATGACATGGTATATTTTAGTGACAAAATTTCGTTAACTCGTTACAATAATTATTGTGGCTAACATTATTGACATTTTCATATTGTGGTTAAAAAATTTATTTTTAATGGTAACAATTAAATGTCATAGTTAAAGGATTTAGCCACACACGTAATTGTCACGGCCTAGTGGCAATAAAAATTGTCACTAAAGTATATAGTGATATTTTTTATACATTTAATTGCAACAATTTCTGAGACTAAAAGACCAATTTCTTGCGGTAGAGGTAAGGGAAGATGAAAGGGTGGCACAATAAAGAACTGAGCCCATCTACAAGAGGCTTTCGTTACTGTGGAGTTTAGAATCACCTCATGTACAGACCTTTATTTTCAAATACATTTATGTCTCGAAACTTTGATGCCTGGTTGACAATGGAATAACCTTTGTCACTACACCGAGACCCACCTCCCAAATAGAACCCCCAGTGCAACCCCAAAATAAGTTCCATGAGGAAAGGAAACTTCTTCTTGTCCTTGCTATAGGTCATCTGCAAAAACAAAAGTAGTGTTTCACCCCCTCCCTCCCCCAAAACTCAAGAATGGAAAAAATTATGTTCTACCAGGAAACTCAATTTAGCATAGACTAACTTATCAGTTCCAATACAATGAAATATGTATTAAACTCCAATCAATGACAACAATAAGGTCTTCTCTTACTGTCCAATCTTGGGAATTTTCAAACAAAGGTTACATAATTAAATTGCATAGAGGCATATCATTCAGCTACTGATCTTCAACCGTGTGTATGATACAGAGAGAGAGAACCTCAAAGCAAACACTCTTTTTCTTATTGTTAAAGAAAGCTCATTTGTTCCTTCTTCATCATCTTATTCATCATCTCTTTCTATTTGCTTGACACGCTCATCATCTTCATCATCTTCTGCTGCTTCTATTTGCTTTGTCATCATCATCATCTTCATCTTGTTCATAATAATCTTCTGTTTGAGGCTAGATGACAAGAAGGAAAGTGGTGACTTAAAAGGAGAGAAATAGTTTAGCCTTGAAATGAAACTGGGCAATAGTGCATAGATAACTATCTTCTTTAATTTTTCAGGGGGAAGTGAGAAATAAAAGGAAGAAATTGAAAAGAATAAAGACATACAGTTCGCTTGCATTTTGTATGGTTGTGTTAAGATCACCCATCCAAAATTCTTGTCCGCCAATGGATATATTTCCTTCTCCTAGCTTTCCTGTGCTTAGTGGTCCAGAGCTGAAAGTCTTCATGTTTGGACAGCCGCTGATTACCAGTTTATTCAATGACGGAAATTGAAATTCACAGTTTCCAGAGCAAAAGCAATTGAGGTTTTCTAGATTTGCAAGCGATATCTCTTTCAATTGTGGAAACAAAATTGTGTCCCCTATCATTTGTTCTTCCTCCTTTGTAGTAACAATCTCGTCTAAAATCTTGATCTTCAAAAGATCTTCTTCCGTGTCAATAATTTCTTCAATCATCTTGCACTTATGAACCTGTAGCAACATTAGATTCCCAAGCAATTTCGCGATAGTAGGTGATAATATGTATCTCAAGCTCTCACAGTTTGAAATATCAATGCTTGTCAAATTCTGAAAACCTTGAAGGTTTTTGGGAACCATCCTCCATACATGCATTAACTTAGGTAAATCACCTAATTCCAATAACATCAACTGACCAAGTGTGACTTCTGCATGATCTCTCCGAGCTGTTAACCCCTCGAAGTTAAACACTGCTTCCAGTTCGCAACAACCATTGACATGAAGTTGTTGGAGATTTGGAAATAATTTTTGCTGACCAGGTGCAACAACATTGAAAACCTTTTCACAATACGACACATCCAAGCCTCTTGGTTTGTGGAAGGACCCACCTTGCATTTGGTAGTCTACTATGTGCACCACACTGATTCTGCCGAGATGCAGTATCTCCAAGTTAGGCAGAAAAACCTGCGATTATATGAAGTTTTCAAGTAAGTGATCATGATAAACCGTATGTATGTCCAATAAACAATTAACTACACGCAGCACAGAAAAAAAAGAAGGAGCTTCATTCACTAAAACATCAACCTATATCAAACCCTCTACTTGTTGCGGACAAATTGCACTTTAGGGCATGCAGCATTTTTCAATTAAATTTTGACAAATGATATTTGAAAATAAGTCTTTTTAATTTACAATTTAAGTCTTAAAGATTGATTAAACATAGAAGGACCAAAAGTAAGTATACAATATCAATGCAAACAAACAAAATTACAAAAAATGAGGTTAATTATATAAGAGATGTGATCAAAATATCAATATTAAAGTCATAACTTGTAATATCAATACCAAAGTTTGAAGGTTGTGGCGTGTGATACGTCACTGATTACTGGTGCTTTGTTTGCTTTAGTGCTTTTGGAGAGAACTTTAGAATTGAGTAGACCAGAAATTCTTTTATACAATTTCTTTTTTTTATTGTTGACTCCTAGAGATTCTATAGTACATTCTATTTTTATCACAGTCCATTAACCAAGAGAGATTTGCTCTACTAAAGGACCCAATTTTGTTTATTTAAAGATATTAGGGTGGGCATAATTGAAAATATTAAAAAAATATATATACACAAATCATACATTGGTAAAAAAACAAATTTCAGGGTGGGCCGGGCCCCTGGCCCATGTGTGCCTCCACCACTGTTAACAACATTTTAGTTATTAAATATTTAAATAAATTATTTTTTTCAAAAAACTTAGCCACCACCACATTTTACGATCAGCATAAAAAAAAAAAAAAATTGGGTGACATACCTCAAGGGTAATTGACTATTACCCAATGTCTATTGCAAGTCACATGTTTGTAATGCCATTTTATAATAAACAAATTAACATTTCTAACAACTAATTCTATAAAAAAAATTAAGAATTCAGATTAAGTACTAACTCAATAGAATTCTTAATAATCTACAAAAAAGCAAGTAGGTTCCTAAAAAGACAAAAACTTGGAAGTGGGGGAGAATATTTGTGTATTGTTTGTAAAGAGAAATACAGAGGGTGAAAGAGAAAAAAGATGACGTAATGATGGTGAATTGCAAAATCCCAATTCAGAGAAACTATTTTTGTGTGGTGGCGAAATTCCTTCGCCCCACTACAATTTCTTACTTTCTATTTCTTTCTTTAATCATAAATGCATTACAAGTATCAGCAAGTTAAGGTATTCATTTCTAAAGTATCTTTCATCTTTAACAAAAAAACCTTTTCCCTAAATTATTTGTTTTTTCACAGATGAAAATAAATTTGTTGCCTTCTCACAAACATGTTCATTTCTAAGTTGTTTCCCACTAAAGGCTGAGGTGTGATGTGTACAAACAAATCAAAATAAAGTAAAACTACATGTCAGTGTTGTGTTAAAGTAATTTTGGAGATATATATTCAAGAAAGAGAAGCACACCTGTTTGGGGAACAAAATATCAGAGTTGGAGCAAAAGCTTCTAAGCATGTCCAGATCTTGCAAAAGCAAGTACGTCAGTTTTGGGAAAACGATGGTTTCAGAATCTTTTTCATCTTCTCCTCCTTTCTTTGCAACAATGTATTCCACTTTCTTACACCGAAATAGAATTAGTTGTTGGAGTTGCACCAAACATTTGACCATGGACTCTGGAAATAGACCCTTCATTGCAGGTAGGTTCTCTAGCCACAACATTTGCAGTTTTCCAAAGGCAAAGGTCTCCCCCGGAATATCCCTACAAATAAGATATTTGAGCTCATCACAATACCAAACACAGAGTTTCTCCCAGCTTACCGAATCATCTACATCAAGGGCATCGAAAATATTACTTCCCAAGCCTTTCAGATTTAGAAACGAGACATGTTTGGATCTCTTCAACAAAACTTTTATCCCAAAGTCATAAAGCATACCCAAGTCACAATCATTGAGACTCAAGCTGTTTTGTAACCCGTAGCCTTCCGACAGACGGAATAACAACAGATTGAATGACACCGGAGAACCAATTGTTATGCGAAATCTTCTCAGGTTATCAAAGCAAAAGTGTTTCAATTTTAGCACAGCAGTTACACTTGTGCAAATATCTAACGTGTTCAGATAAGACATTGAGTTCAACTCTGCAATGCTATCATTCATGTCATTTTCGCCTGCATACAACTCTTCAAGTTTATCCAGCTTGGACAAAATATTTGGCGAAATTCTTCCAGGGCGTCCCGCAAACCTCAAATCCAATATTTGTAGATGCTCAAGTTGTCCAATTTCACTCGGTAATTCCTCAATGTAAGATTTAAAAAAGCTGAGAACTCTCAAGCTCTTTAGGCTTCCAATCATGGAGGATGTGTTATTGTCCAGCCGGCAAAAATCCAAACACAATGTTCGAATATTTAGCAAAGATTTGAGTGGTTGTCGGGTAAGCTGAAGGCACATTGATCTTAAATCAACAACTTTGAGTTCTTTCATCCCTTCAAAAAAACCTATTGAGTCAACTCTGGTACAACTCTCATTAGTAGGGTCGTCTCGTGGATCACCCTTGCATTGCACTTGTAAGAGCTTGAGGTTCGGACAATCTAATCCAATAGGAAACTTGTCCAATTGGTCGAACATCAATGAGATGGCTGAGCAATGTCTGAATGTATCTTCTTGTGGCCACTCTTTCAATCCTGCATCATTCCTTACCAAATATGGTTCCCTACCTTTAGATGCAATTGATATGCATACATCGCGTACAACATCATGTAATTTCACTTTCTCTCCATCACCGTGGAGTATCAAGAAACGACTTTTGAGTTGATCGTTTAATGAGTACACCATGTCTCTTGCTTCTGCCACAGTTTCAACTTTTTCAAACAAACATAGTCCTACCACATATCTAACCAAACACTCGAGAGGAATATCAGAATCTTCCGGAAATAAATTGTAAAGTCGAAGCAATGACTTGGCTTCTTCTCTGTTCAACAGATTGTAGCTCAACTCTATACTGGTTTGAACCTTTTGTGGCATTCTGTTACACCTCTGTAGTTCTCGAAGTGCATTATTCCACGAATGCTCCTTTTCACCTTTCAGTGCCTCGGCGAGAGTTACAATTGCAAGAGGTAAGCCTCCACATTCATTTGCAACCTCTTTTGCTATGGCCTGTGGCACAGGGATGTCATTGGTAATTCCCGCCTGCTTCTTAAAAAAATTTCATGCTTCGTCCTTAGGTAGGACTTGGACTACAATGATTTTTTGAAATTCCATCTCAATACAAACACGTTCGTTTCGAGAAGTCAATACAATTGTGCACCCTTTTTGGCCAGCTCCAAAACAAATTCCAAGTTTTTTCAAATCAAGTTTTTCCCAAACATCATCTAATATTACAAGAATTCTTTTCCCATTTGACAATCTCGTACAAAGTCTGTCTGCTCTTGCACGAAGGCTGGTTTCCTTCTCAAGGCTCAAATCCAACATGTTTGCTATGTCACTTTGAATCTTTATCAAATCTTGATTGTTGGACACAGCAGCCATAGTAACCTCATCAAATAACCTCTCAATCTGTGCTCTTTTGGCAACAGCTTCTACCATTGTGGTTTTACCCACTCCACCCATACCGCATATCCCAATCATTCTGATCTCACCATCCTTCAAAGCCTCCATAACTTCATTTGTCGTCGACATCCTGGATTCAAAGCCTTGGAAATCTTCTGTTGATACAGACGCCATTTGCATGGGTGGTGCAGGGTATGTCAATTGAGTGTACTTGTCCCCATCTTGTTTGAGCTTATAGATATTCTGAGTCTTTTTCGTGGCTTTCCTACTCAGCGAGTAACGAGATACCAGATTCGGGCACCATCCATTCAAACAACCCCTTTCAACTTTGGTTTTGAGTTTATCAACTTCGTCTGCCTCTTTCTCGACCTCTTCCACTTTTGTCAGCCAGTCCTGCACATGTGGTGCAACAACTTGTAAGTTTCTTTGGGCTGCGTCTACTGATTGCTGCACCCCATCTCTTATATTTTTTAGATGCATGACCTCTTTTTCCAGATTTTGAATGTTGTTGTTGTAGCAAAATAGATATCCAAACTTTCGTCCTATTGGGAACACCAAGTAATCTACAAAAAGTTCTGTGAATTTTCCCAAAATAGAGAACCCAATTGCCTCGGCCATATCCCAATTCTTTTCCTGTTTTAAGAGAAGGAAGAGTAAGCAAAACTTTCTAAAGACTCTTGATATACTTTCCGAGCAGAGTTGAACAAAGATTGGCAGTAGATATTGAGAGGGGCGTATCAGCTGCAAAATCACAACGTAAGAGAAATGAGAGTATGTTTTTCAGTTATAAACTTCTAGAATGCATTGTAATTGTTTTTATTAATTATGTCGTCCACATTGGCAAAACATCACCATATCTCAAACTCTCAAAGTCTTATAAGAAGGATGGACCTTGCTGAAAATATTCAGTAGCTTTAGTTATATAAAATCCATTAATTAGAGTTGAATTTGGATACCAAAATATAATTAAATATGCTATCAGTTAAAAATATAGACAAAAAAAATTGAAAAGTTATTAATACAAAAAAATTATTTTTCAATAAATGAATACGAGTAAGAATTACATGTTCTACACAAACATAGTTAAACAAAAATTATTCAAAAACATTTTAGGCGCACCTCGGTTTCTTGAATTGATTAAAGCAGCACGAAAAGGAGTTGCAGGGCAAACAAATTTCAGCAGGAAGAGGCAACAATGTGGAGAGAAAAAGTATATTCACAGCAGATTGGCGATTGAGAAAGATAGTAAAGCTTGGTGATGTTGTCGCTGTACCAGTTAAAGCTTGCTTGAAAGTCTTGGTCAATATCCACCAAAAAAAACGAAGACTCTTGGTCAATACCTACCAATCAAAAAGTCTTGGTCAATAGACTCAATACTATATGGCCCATAATCGGCCCCATATAGTAATGGGTGTGTACGATAACGTTAACGTTATTTAAATGTCAATTTAAACAAACGATTAACGTTATTTAAAACTAAATTGTGGACTTAATTTATTAATTTAATTACTCATAATTATGATTGATAACCTAGTTGAGTTTTATGAGCACATGTCTAACTTGGCTTTTTAAACGATCTTAAAAAATTATTCAAAACGAGTCGAACCCTGAATAGTTTGACTCAATTATCAATCTTACTCATAATTATTTGATCGACAAAAAATCCTATTAGTCTTTAAAATACTTTATCAATCTAATGGTTATACTAAATAGTATTATTGTAACAAATTACCCTTCTTGATATGTTGTTGTTGCTCCTATAATACAACTCTGATTCATATATAATGACACACATACAGATACTCACTCTTTGATATATATTAGTTGGCGCACATGTGCATGCGAAAAGTGAGAGTAATACATTTTCTATTTTTCAAGGAATAAATCTTTTCTTCCCTCATTTGTGTTTGGTAAGATAAATAGAAAATAGAAATGATTGATTTTTTTTTTTGTAAGATGGGAAATTTTTTTTTGAAAAAATATAACTATTTATTTTACCAAAATAGAGAACCCAATTACCTCTGCCATTTATGGTTTTTTCTTTTTTTTGAATAAACGTTCAACAAAGAAAAGCAAAAAGCAAATAATAAGAACAATAGATTGGACTCAAATTGAAAAGATAACAGAGTCAAGGCAGAAGATGTTTTGAAGAGAAGGAAGACTTGACAACTCTTGAATTAAAAAAATGTGCGCAGCCCAGATAAACTTTCTGAGAGAGTTGAGCAAAGATTGACAGCAGATATAAAACAGATCAACTGAAAAGATATTGAGAGAGTTGTATCCATTGCAAAATCACAATATAACAGAAATGAGAGTCTAATTTACAGTTATTAATAAACTTCTTTATTGTATCTTGGCTAGTTTCATTGAGTTTTGTCACCCAGATTAGCAAATCATCTCAATATCTCCAGTCTTATAAGCAGTCAAAGTGCCTACTCAAATCTTTATAGTCCGCAAATTATAATTGTTCTTATCCAAGATTGATTCAACTTATAAAATTAAAATTAAAGAGGGAAGATTTCTCAAACCCTCTTCCTAAGAAATTGTATGTATTATAGATAATAGTATGCTGTTGTGTGTTTTCCATTCGATTGTTTAACCAATAATGCCTGTATTATAATACACCAATTTCTTGCAAGTTGCTTCTTTTTTTTTTCAGAAAAAAAACATAATTCCCTAGTTCTAACTTTGAATTGAAAATAATATTCACATGGCCTTGACAAAGCCAATTCATCTATTCACATGCTGCTTTTTCGCACCAATAATGCATACTTTAAGGCAACTTCTTGGAAGTTGCAATCGTTCAGGCAGACTAGAGAATAATTTAATATTAAAATAAAAAGTATTTGAGTTGTACCCCCACCTACGATGATGTGTTTTAATATGATTATGCTTTATTCTCCTGCTTGGAAGAGCCAGCGGTCCCTCCTTTTGCACGACTATCTTTCATATGTTGACTTCCTCTTTTGCGTTCATATTGTTGTAGACAAAATTACAAGACTTCACAACGATTAGGCTTTTTTGGTGTAATTATGCATGAAATAACTTGTTTGTTTGTTTGTTTCCTTTCTAGTGTACATGATGATCTAAGATTTGTCAATACATCAAATTTTAATAGAATTTAAATAGAAGATATTTTAATTGACCAATTTTTTTTCCTTTTTCGTCGTATATAAAGATTAGACTTATCAATGAATTAGATTCCATCAGGATTTTAATAGATCTTATTTTAATGTGTTAACGTATATGCCAATTTGAATTGATGTACAAAATCTATTATATGACTAGCATCTTGTACAAAATTCATGTTTGAATTTGCGAATAATAAAAAAGTACAAAAATCTATTTCGATTCAATTTTTATTTTTATTTTTTTGTAATGGGATGTATATATGTATTAAAAATCTATTTGGATGCCTCGTTGATAATAGAATAACCTTTGCCACTACGCTGAGACCCACCTCACAAATAGAACCTCCAGTAGAACACCAAAATAAGTTCCATGAGGAAAGGAAACTTCTTGTTGTTATTGCTATAGTTCATCTGCAAAAACAAAAGTTGTGTTTTCCCCCACAAAATCAAGAATGCAAAAACTTATGTTTTACCAGGAAACCTAATTTAGCATAGACTAACTTATCATTTCCAATACAATGAAAATATGTATTAAACTTCAATCTATGGCAACAATAAGGTCTTCTCTTCTTGTCAAATCTTGGCATTTTTCAAACAAAAGTTACATAATTAAATTGTATATCATTCAGCTACTGATCTACAATCGTGTGTGTGTGTGTGAGAGAGAGAGAGAGAGAGAGAACATCAAAGCAAACACACTCTTTCTTATTGTTAAAGAAAGCTCATTTGTTCCATCCTCAGCATCCTCATCATCTCTCCTTCCATTTGCTTGACATCATCATCATCATCATCTTCTGCTGCTTCATCATCATCGTTGTCGTTGTCATCGTCAAATATCATCATTCTTCTTCTGATTCATCGTTGAGGCTAGATGACAAGAAGGAAAGTGACGACTTAAAGCAGAGAAATAGTTTAGCCTTGAATGAAATTGGCAATAACGCATAGATAACTATTTTCTTTAATTTTTCAGGGGGAAGTGAGAAATAAAAGGAAGAAATTGAAAAGAATAAAGACATACAATTCGCTTGCATTTTGTATGGTTGTGTTAAGATCACTCATCCAAAATCCCTGTCCGCCAATGGGTATATTTCCTTCTCCAAGCCTTCCTGTGCTCAGTGGTCCAGAGCAGAAAGTCTTCATGTTTGGACAGCCACTGATTTTCAATTGATTCAATGACAAAAATTGAAATTCACAGTTTCCAGAGCAAAAGCAATTAAGGTTTTCTAGATTTTCAAGCCATATCTCTTTCAATTGTGGTTACAAAATTTTGTCCCGTCATTTATTCTTCTTCCTGTGTAGTAACTATCTCGTCTAAAATCTTGATCTTGGAAAGATCTTCTTCCATGTCAATAATTTCTTCCATCATCTTACACCGGCAAACAAGTTGGATTTGTAGATTCCCAAGCAATTTTGCCATAGTAGGTGACAATAGATTTCTCAAAATGTCACACTGCAATATATTAAAGATTGCCAAATTCTGAAAACCTCAAAGATTTTTGGGAACGATCCTCCATACATGCATTAACCTAGGTAAATTACCTAATGTCAAAGACTCCTGATAATGTGGATTTATGCACTACCTGTCGAGTAATTAATGTAGGTAATAAATTCAATAAATATAAGGTGAAATCAACATAGTCTACGCACAAATGTATAGTGGTTCGTTCACGGTGACCTACTCCATTTTGAAGACGACAAAGGTGGCCAGTGGTCTTTATTGATGAAGTAGTAGGTGAGAGAGAGAGCAAATGTAATTTCTGGGAGAGGTATGGTAGCTAAGAGAGAGAAATAACAATGTGAGGGGTGTATAGAGAGAGCTTACAATTTATAGGCAGAGAGCCTTGGTTAAGGCGGTGATGTGAGGGTAAATATACTAGTTCGTTAGGGAGGATAGCTACAACTAAGTATAGGTACAATTAAAGATATCCTTGATTTTCGAGAGTGGCAATCCCGATAATTGCTCTCCATGTGTACTAATGTTCTTGGACTCCTTGAACTTTGGTGTGAGCCGAATTCATGAACTGGACTTGACTTGCCTTGCAGCTAATTTGGGCTTACTTAATTACTTGGGCCTGACTTAGTCGAATTCAGGCTCATCATTTGCGCCCCATGCCCCAAGCCTTGATTACAAAAAAGGTATTGGGGACAAGAGTGAGCCTCTAAATAGCTAAGGGTTTCTTGCGTCCCACGGCTCATCCTTTTTCCATTCTTCAACTGTAGAGCTCCTTTTCTTGGATTGATAATCATCGTGGTTGAAAAACCATTGTTCCAACGACTATATTTCAATAGCTTGGTAAACTTGACAACAAGGTCTCCTCTTTTACTCAAGTACTTGCCTTTTGGATTTAAAGGGCATTTCTTGCCAAACCCATCATATCCCTCTTTAGAACTAGGGCTTAAATTCACTATTTTCCCCCTTCACATTCTACAAATCATTAGGCAAACTTGCAGGAGATGAGTATGAGGACAAGGGAGAAGATGAAGAGAGGTATCTTTGGTGGATCTACGTGGAAAATCTCAATGAAGGAGAAGGAAAAAAAAGCCTCGGATCTCAGGCAGCAATCGCAAAGGACAGACGATGAACACGGATGGTGACAGGATCATGGCCCAGGGGTTGGGCGACGCCAACGAGTTGCTGGGCAGCACCAACACGCTGGAAGGCGTAAGGAAAGCAATGAGAAGCAGTGGATTTGGCCTGGGTGACGCCCATAGTGCAAAGAAAGTCGTTGCAGAAGGCGCCGATTTCGTAGGCAATGCTCCAGGCTGTTGGGGCGTTAGAGGCGCAACAGATGGGAAACCAGGTGGCGCCGACAGTGGCTTGGACTCCTAAAGGATGACGACGACGCCCACATGGGTGGAGTAGTTGAGTTGGGGGGTGGAGTAATTGAGTTAGGCGAAGGCGCCTCAGTCGTAGGAGGTACAAGTGATGCATCGAGGCGAGGAGTCCATTGAGATGGCGCCCATGAGGGAGGCGGGACCAGGGAGGATGACAACGCTTGGAGAAGAGTGTTAGGTCTTTGCGGAGAGCTGACAAGCAATGCCCATGTTGCAAGTATCCATGGTTACGAATATGGTGGCAACGCCATTACTGGTAGGTC